GAAAATAAAGAAAAAAGAATGCGGGACAACTGCAATAAATGATTAGAGCTGCAAATTGTTGTAAAAATGTCGTGAAATAAGTTGGTTATCGGCACTTTCGTATACCACATTTAAGACACGATCGTCGAAAATCAATAAACTGCAAACCAGCAGCAGCTCCAGGCCTGCCTACACTATAAACCACGCAAACCTTTCTCTTTCTCTATTTGCCATTACAATACTAGAACGGTGAACACGACGACTACGACACTACCACTACACCGTCACCACTACTGCTACTAATACCGGTACCACTACTACCACCGCTGCTACTACAATCTTAATAAAAAGCAATTACGCAGTGGAGCTACAATTAACTCGGCAGCGGCGGCAACTCTCTGACAATTCTCGCAAATACCGCAGGACAAGTACGAGAGAGGATACCATTATTATCTCTCTCTCTCTTCTCTCTTTCTCTCTCTCTCTCTCTCTCTCTCTCTCTCTATCCTCTCCCTCGTTTGCTTTCTCTTTCTCGTTTGCTCTTCCCAAGTGCTTGCTTTCCACGGAGTATGTACAGTCAAGGGGTGGAGATACGAAATGTGAGGGAGAGAGATAGAGGGGGAGAAGATAGGAAGTGGAAAAGCTCGTCGGTGCAAAGGCGTCGAGGTAATGGAGCGCAAGGAAGTGAAATAGCGAGTAGTAGAAGAGAGACCAAGAGAAAGAGGAGGCTAAAAGACCGGGGAGCCACTACCATTGGGAGAGATGGGGGTAATTGAGAAGAGGAGATTTACTTGGGCGTCGAGCAGTCTCTGTCTCTCTTTTTCTTTCTCTCTTGCTCCATCTATCACCGTCTCGCTTTGTCGGTGTTGTGCTTCATCTCTTGCTCTCTATTCATTTATTATTTACAGAGATCAGGTGAATTTTTTATTCCATCTAATTTAAGGGGATGTAGCACTTTTATTTTTATCATATCATCTTACAAAGCGAAAATTGAATTTTTATTTTTAATTTAAAAAATATTTCAAAGTGTGAAAAAATGCATTATCATTGATATCATAAATATAAATATAATTTTATATCATTATTTATAAATATTATAATTCATTTTGAATTTCTTTATATGCCAAGTATTAATATGTGATTTGAAGTTTTTCACTTTAAATAAAAAATTACGCAAACAAAATATGTGCAAAATTTTATTTATATCTATAAATATATAAAGTATATTTAAATTTATTTATTAATTTAAGTTTTCAAAACGTCATTGACAATTGAAGTAAAACAAATTTGAATTACAGTAATTTAACATTATTACATAAAAATCCATTTTTATTATAATCAATCGATTAAAAGAAATCCAAAAAAAATTTTAAATTTGAATCAAGGTTATAAATTTTATAATTAGTATTCAGCTGTCATCGTACTAATGTCTCTATCGTTTGGCTTTATGATGCATACAAATTATTACAATCTTATAAGAAAGCTAACTTATAAGAAGGAAATGGCTGAATGTGAAAGTATTGTATAATAAATCCATTATTCTATTCGGTCTTTCTCGCTCCCCCCCCTCCTCTTTCTCTCTCTTTGTGTGCGCGCGCGCATGTGTGTGTGATACGCATATATGTACATATATTTTATAAAACGATTGTATCAGATTATTGATTCCTTATTGACGAAATAGAATCAAAATCTTTGCACTAAAGTTAATTAAGCTGGATAATTTAAATGTTTCAAGTATAACATGATAGATATAGTAGAATACGTGAATATATTAATTTAAATCTACGACTTTGTACGAAATTATCGTTGACTAAAGTAGAAACTATGAAGATAATTTAATATGATATAGTCTGTCGACAATGACGCAAGGGTAAAGTATCTTTGAGGAAAGAGAAAAAAAAAAGGCTACAATCCTCCAGAAGCAAATTCTCGACTTTCCTTGACAAGTCATTCGCAAACTACGGAAGGGAGGACGTCGCGCTCTTGGGGAAACGAAGTGAAGAAGGGTTTGGTTTATGGGTGTACCGACACAAGCTGGTTGTAGGTTCGCGATGTGGTAGCAAAGATTGGGGTATCCAAGCAAACTATACACACCCCTTGATATCGACTTCTCGACACCGATGGATATCGAGGGCTGACGCCGAGGGAAACGAGCCAAACCGACAGGGTCAATAGCGAAATTGGAAAGGAGCATGTAGTGGTGGTGACAAGCGGTGGTGGTGATAGTAGATGGTAGTGATAGTAGAGGTGGTGCTTTTCTCCTCTTTCGTTGCTTCCGTTTCGATTTTTCTTTTTACGGTATTCGATGACGTTTTGGAAAATTTATTTTTTAAACCACCTTATTTTTAATTTTTTTTTGTACCCCAGAGCTTTATCAGTACACGGTATCTGATTAATTTTTATTTCATTATTATATTTCTTTTATATTATCATTGAGAGTATATTATAATACTAGTTGGTTTTATCATACAATTTCGTTCCTTCTTGATTAATGAAAAATGTCACTGATTAATTATAATGGAATGAAATTATTTAAAACAAATTTGAATTCAAAACAACGTAAATGCATATAATAAATTTAAGTCTTATAGAAGAACATCGTTTCGCCATTTTACAAGAGCGCATCCTACGAATTTTAAGCTTTGAGAAGCAAACAAAAGGAAAAATAAATCTTGCGTCCTATTTCGCCTACTCAGCAAAAAACTTTCTTCTCCAATTTGCATTGGAAAGGCGATGACAGATTGAACTGGGCATCGAGCGATTCTCTTTCATTTGTACAGGATTCTCAAAGATACTTTCTTCTGTTTATTTGGTCACCGTTGTATGATCCTAAAGAAATTGTACGACATGTATGGATACATGTATTTCTTCATGCAGCTAGCTGATGAAATCCTTTTTCTCATTCGAATACGAAATAAAAAGAAGAGAAGAAAATAGCTTTTGCATAGTTTGACCATAAAAATGTCGAAAGGTTCTATGGACAAACTGAAGTATGATTGATTTTTAAGCTTTTTCGCGGTACTTTTTACAACTTTAAAACAAAAATGGAACTCATTCCATATTATTTTAATGAATTCTGTTAAAAAATAATTCAAATATATGTTTAATATGGAAAAAGTTTATCTTAATAATAAATTTCTACGATATATAATGAGAAATTATATAAAGAATTAAGAAGGATGATATTACATAAAAATATAATAAAGAATTATTTCAATAAATATAGAAATATAATATTAGGTATAATTATTATAATTAAACAAATGTATAAATGTTTTAAATTTCATAATATAAGTAAGTTAAAGAACATCGTGGAGAAAAACATTGCACATAAAAGTATTCAATTATAATAAGAAATAATAGAATCTTATAGAAAAAGAAAAAAAGAGAGATCTTTCGAAACTGACATTCAAATTCAAAGGTCTTTGGAGAGAACAGATTACATAAATATAGAAAGAAAAATAGAGAAAGAGAAAAAGAAGTGCAGGAAAAGCTTGAGTGTCAGAGTGCTTAATTAAGTGCGATCAATTCAAATGACCGAAGCTGGAGGGAGGAGATCGACGGGGGAAATTACCATAGCGTTTAACAAATTGCATTTAAAAAAATTTAATGCTTTCTTAAAGTTGATAACTGAGAATAAAGGAACTTATAAATATAATGTTTTTTTGCAAGAAAAATTATTTAGTTTTTTGATAGTTTAATTAACCATGATCGCATTTGATTATATTCAAATTTATGGGGTTACTGCATTATCAATATCAAATTAAAGCAAGAGGTAAAAAGGCAAAAATATCATTTATTTATTTGTATAATTTTAAATAAAAAATAAATGTTTTGTGACTTTACATCAATCAACTGAGTACTTTTTATTTTATGAGGCAAACATACGTAATTTCAATGTATAATAAACGGGAATTAATTAGAAGGAAGTCGAAATGAAATTTACCATTATACAATTAACTAAAAGCCATATTAATAACGCATCGTAAATAGCAAAATCCTGCCGCAAAGAAAATATTCAAAAAGTCGACGAGAGAAAAGTAATTTTCCAACTCTGGTATAAACAAAGCAATCTGTCAACGGCATAAAGACTCGTTGATTCCTTTCGATTTTCTCGTTTACACCATTCGGCGAAATAACGTCGATCTTATTTATCGTTCAAGTTCCCTGATCGATTCCCCATCCTTTTCGCGCATCCTTTCTGGCTTCCTGTTTGGCCGGGAAAAAGGAAACCCTCCGCCAATGTATTATTCTTCCTTCCCCTCGACCATAAGAAGAGGGATAAAAGCGGGCAGCATAAGTAATTCGAGAGTGCGCGAAGCGGACGAAAAAGCATTTTATTTAATCGACACTGCTAGGAAATAGAGCACAAAGAAGTCTCGGAGCAGATAACTTTTTCGAATAATTCGAGGGTCTCTGTAAATTCACATCGACTTGGTGGCCTGCGTCTTTTACTTTTTTCGTCTAGTATGGCAGTAGATCGAGCGAAACAACATCGCATGATCGCTGTGATCGTAAAAGTCGAGGGTATAAAATTTTCCTCGCTTATTTTCTTCTCTCGACTCGTATTAAGTTCACGTGATGTTCTGCATAACATCCTGGTAAATCTTTGTATCCATCTTTTGACGGGTATATACTGTTTCTTTGTTATTTCTTTGTTAAATTTAATATTTAAGCGTTCAACTTTGCCCTTTATCTCTCCTAACCACATTGACTCTAGGATATAATGCTTGTTCGGTGAAATACACTTTTAAGGAATTGTAATTTATACGCACTATATTTGCCATTTATTTGCCCTGCAGAAAAATTAGAGATTTAAAAAAGAAAAAAAATACTAACACATAATTAGGATTTACATTTCACAAATATGATTTCAACGTCCAATAAGTAAAGTTCTGTTTAACGATAAATCTGCTTTACCAGTTACAATCATTTCACAACCCATGAAATACTTATAAATACCGTATACCATTCGTATCAAGAAAGAAAACTAAATTGGTCTTTGATTATTTTTATTATAGAGAAATTCGATATCGCCGGCTGAACGTGAAAAATACAGCAGGCCGCGTAGTACGCCAGATTCACAACATCACGATCACATCCATCTCAAAAAGTTAAAGAAAGAGCAGGATAAGGATATAAGTCACGTAAGTGTCACTCTCAGTTCATGTATAAATTTTAAAATGTTTTTCCGTCTCTTGTATACGCCGTTCTGCGTGATTTATTCACTACTTTATATATCTAATAAATTCTTAAAATCTTACAAATTCAAATATTCATTTCATAACGATGCATTATTCAAGTACAATAATTTTTTACTTAATTTTTTACTCACATAAATAAAATAATAACCTAGGTATTTGAATATATCAGATCTTTTTAACGAAAGTAATGATTTCAATGCATTACTTTGTAAATCATTTAACAACAACCAGTCTTCTTTCCAGCCTTGCGTAAATCATTTTATTTATACATAATATTAACTATAGATATTTGTTGTAAGTTAATGGCGTTTAAAACTACTTCTTTAGTTTAAACATAAAAAAATAATTAAATACCTTCTTTTTAAACTAAATTTATTCGGCGGTTTAAAACGTACAGTGCTTCCCTGACATATTGTATACAAAATGGAATAATATTGAATACAAAAAACGAACGAAAATTGAAATTAGCCCTAGTAAAGCTAAATTCTTCTAAAAGCTTTTAACCAATATAATTACAAAGATGAACCAACAATAATCCACACGAGCAACGTGATTCTCTTGCCAACAGCAGAGTGACGGTGAGAAAAGCGACCAAGACCTTGTAGTGGATGATGCCAGCGAGGATGGACGCGGGGGTAGCCCTGCAGCCAATGGCACCTCTTCTCCTCGAGAAAACGGACTCGATAAACTCGGTCCGTCCTCTGTCTCGCTTGGCGGCCAAGTGAAGAAGGAGGCACCTCCACCATCGCCCCGAAGCGGCACCAGCAGCAACGCCAGTACCCCGTCCGCCAAAAAGATGGAAGAACGCGAGAAGCCAACCACACCGATATCAAAACCTGTCACACCCACCTCTGCAGGTTAGCGTCGCTATTTACTTAACTATCTATCGAATTATCCCTTTTGTGGATTTATTCTGCCACTGGCTAATAATATTTATCAACGTGGTAGGTAGGTAAACGCCATGTATCTATACACAGTTCATATACTTTGTCAAATGTAACATCAGCATAAAGCCGTTCTCTGTGTATATAAAATAATTAATTGATATCGAGTACTAGATAATTTCTTGTCTAGTGTATAGACATTTAACAATATAGTTTAATATTTTATGTTTATTAAGCTGACATATTGATTTTCAACTGTAAAACAAAGTTGGACTTTGTATATCTTCCTTTGTTTTAACAACTTCTCCTTGGCCGAAAATGTATTCACCTCTTTCGATTATCGTTAAGCGTTGTCGTAGTAATGATCAATCACGTTCTCTATTTTTTAGGTGGCAGTAGCTCAGGATCAGGCGGCCTCAAGTCCTCGAGCTCGAGTAAACCCCTGGTCTCGGCCTCGGCCATAGGTCCATACCCGCCGCATTACCCACCTCCACATCACGCACCCGCGGGACCCCACGTCGATATGCTCGGATATCCACCAGCAGCCCTCAACGGCTATCCAGCAAGACCGCCCCTACAGCAACTCTACGATCATCACGGGAACATGAGGGCGCCCCTTGGACCCCTTGCCGTTCCTGGTGGCAAACCGTAAGTCTTTGTATAGTTGCATGACATTCTTTTATTTCAGTGGATTCGAACAAAGATCGAATCAAGACGCATTGAATCCTCGCTAGATAATTTAACTCGAAGATATCATTGGTCATATGCATAAGAGCTGCCCTGACTCAAATTTCCATTTGTATTTTAGGGCTTATAGTTTCCATGTGTCGAGCGAAGGTCAAATGCAGCCCGTGCCCTTTCCGCCGGATGCCCTGATCGGGCCTGGAATTCCACGCCATGCGCGTCAAATTAACACCTTAACTCATGGCGAGGTCGTATGTGCCGTAACGATCTCCAACCCGACCAAGTACGTTTATACGGGCGGCAAGGGCTGCGTCAAGGTCTGGGACATAAGCCAGGGCGGCAGCAGCAGTGCCAAGCCCGTATCTCAGCTCGACTGCCTCCAGCGCGACAACTACATCAGGTCGGTGAAGTTGCTGCCCGATGGGAGGACCCTCATTGTCGGCGGTGAGGCCAGTAATCTCAGTATCTGGGATCTGGCCAGCCCCACGCCTAGAATTAAGGCTGAGCTTACCTCCTCGGCACCAGCCTGCTATGCCCTTGCGATATCTCCAGACTCCAAGGTCTGCTTCAGCTGCTGCAGCGACGGCAACATCGCCGTCTGGGATCTGCAGAACCAATCGCTGGTCCGGCAATTCCAGGGCCACACAGATGGCGCCTCTTGCATCGATATTTCTGCCGATGGCTCAAAATTATGGACCGGTGGTTTAGACAACACCGTGAGGTACATTATTTCTATTGAAAGTAACAAAGCGACTAGCAGAGAATTTAAAAAGAAATTTGTTATACGTACTAAAATGTCACTTATCAAAATTTTAATTGCGACTTAACTCTTAAGTAAATATATTTCGTGAGATGGAATACCATCAAACATGTACTGAGATAAGCATTTCAATTTTATGATGTTAAAAATTAGAGATAAGCGAATAGTCATTTATAGAAGAAAATTCTTGCTATACAGAACGAGAGGTTACTCAACGACACGAGCTGAAGAGATGCAAAAAAACAAACCGTTGAGTTTCATAATTTTGCTGCACGATAACGCACTGCCACATACAGTGAAAGCAACTCAAAAAGTTATATATTACTTGAACTGAAAAGTTCTCCCTCGCGTGGCTTATTTACTACACTCAGACCCTTCAGATTATTACTTTTCCGCGTAACTTCAGCATCGCTCGGTCGATTCACAATTCTAAATATTTAAAGAAGTCGATTTAACATAACCAATATTGTTAACTGAATACTCAGAAGTTTTAAAGTCGGGATTAATTACAAATTCTATGTAATATTAGTATTGTTTATAAGAAACATCAAAATTAAATATAACTTTAATTGCTGCTCTTAATTATGATATCTTGAAATTTTCAAAAACATTAGAACATACTTTTATTTACAAAGTAATATCTGCAATGAAATTAATGAAAACTAAATTAATTGTTCTAATGAGAACAATAAAGAAGTAGTTATAGCAAATATTATTCATTAATAAATATGGAATTATAATTATCCCTAATAATAGTAATTTCATTTGGATTGCACATAGTAAAGCATATAATGGATAATTTATTTAAGGTCGTGGGATTTGAGAGAGGGCAGGCAATTGCAGCAGCACGACTTCACCTCGCAAATCTTCTCGCTGGGCTACTGTCCGACAGGCGAATGGCTAGCCGTGGGCATGGAGAATTCGAACGTCGAGGTGCTTCACGCGACAAAGCCCGACAAGTACCAGCTGCACCTGCACGAGTCCTGCGTGCTGTCATTGAGATTCGCGTCCTGTGGCAAGTGGTTCGTTTCGACCGGCAAGGACAATCTCCTCAACGCCTGGCGCACGCCTTACGGAGCATCGATATTCCAAGTACGTTCGATTATCATTTTCTAGTTTATGTGTGAGTTAAATGTGATTTGCGGTGTTTCTTAACGTAACAATATTTAATTGGCTATCTTTTGTAAATAACTGTTATAACTTTTCTTTAATTTAATTAAGCTCTGGAGAAAAATACGTAAAGAAACGTAATATGCGCATTTGTATATATTTTAATATGTAGCATATAGCGTATAACGATAAATATTTTTAAAAACAATAAAATAAAATATCTGTAACTTTTAAAACTGTAGACGTCGTTGCATGTGCTGCCATAAATAAATAAATATTTTCTACTACTAAATGTACTAACTGCTTAATGTTTATTTCAGTCAAAGGAGTCTTCTTCGGTACTAAGCTGCGATATTTCGACGGACGATAAATATATCGTGACAGGATCAGGAGACAAGAAGGCCACTGTCTATGAAGTGATTTATTGAAGCGCCGATGCGACTGTTAATATATAAATAAAAATTAGACGACTAAGCTTGTTAAGATATTTATGAAAGAGCACTGTATCCAGAAATATCTCGCGTGCGGGCGAAAGTTTCTAGAAGACTTGATAAAGTAGTGCATATTTTACAAAAGCAAGATAAGAAAGAAAGGGAAAAAACATTATTAACCGTGCGTAAAAGTCAACGGTGCTAATGTCAAGACAATGAATAATAAAAAAAAAGTAACGAGAATGCCATGCTTAACAAAAACGTAAAAAAAATTTTAAAAAAAAAATAAAAAAATCTGAGAATCGATAACGTAGATGCAAGTTCGAATAGCCGAACCAAGTCATTCTTTTAATTTTTCAGTGTTCACCATTTTTACTCATTCGAACCCTTTTATTCTTTTAATTTCGATACCAAATAAAGAAATAACGGCATCGACCAAATTCCGAAAACTGCTTTGCCCTGACTATAATTAAGAGCGACACTACAGTTACTTTATAAATCTATAATATGTAATGAAAAAAGATATATAAAATTCGATGACACAGGCAGTTATTTAATATTGTATAAAATTAAAAGAAAACTTATGTATTTGTAAGTAGAAAGCGCGCTGAGAAAAGAGATAGAGAAGAATGCGATTGTGTATCCGCGAGACCGATTTCATCGACACTTTTTGTCGCGTGAAAATCGAATTTGTAAAATAGAATTTATTAATTTCTAGGTGCGAATGCGATTGTGTGTTTATGCCGATATGTATGCGAATGTATATTAAGCGAATAAAGCTACAGATATTTCTGATGCTCGAGCCCAAGGTTATAAGGAGAGCGATATTAGATTAAAGTACAGTGTAAAATGCAAAATGAAAGTCTGCCTGCTTGAATGCAGATCGAGTCGCTTCTAAATTATTCGTGTATCCTCGTGAGAAGTAAATGCGTTAGGAATTAAAGTAATATACGAGTTTTAAAAGAGAATAATAAGAGATCGTGAAAGTAATTTTAAGTAATTGCATATTGCTACGAAAACCATACAATTTCTTACGTAATGAATAACAAAAATTAATAAATATAAATATCAGTAATAAAGAAAGTTTTGCGCGCGGTATCGGTAATCGCTGTTCTAGATAGCGTCAGGGCGCATAGGCACAAATACATACAAGACGACTATGCTTATAATCAGCATAAAAGTAAAATGAAAAGAAACATGTAACGCCCCTCACTACGAGATATTTGACTAAATATTTTTATGACTGTCATTGTAAAACTGCTCGTTCGAGGGAATGCAAGGCTAGAAAATGATTTGAAAATATGATACCGAAGATTTTGCACTTTTATCTAATAGTACATACGCTTCTTTCGACATGTTAATTTAAAATAAAGTGCGTTAATACACAATACTTATCACAACTGCATAATTGTTTGATTACTATCGTTCGATAAAATTGTAAAATCTAAGATAAACACATGAAAATGAAACCTTGAAGTGCCTCGAACGATGCTAAAGGCCCTTATAAAAGGTATTTAGATAGCGCAATATTGTTCAAAGCCAGTTGCGAGTTAGATGCAGATACGGATATATTTTGTTGGCATTAAAGATAGGTATCTTAAGTAATGGAGTTGTAAACGTTCTCTGTACTGTTATTCCCTTCAGGAGGTAGTATCTGTCGCCTTCTCTTCTTCGGTGATTTCTAACGCGTAAACAGGAAGTTCAGGAGTTTCGACTCTTCGTTCCTTACAGCATCTTTAGATCTGCCTCAAATGGTCGACTCGTATCTTTGATCAACTTCAGATTGGAATAGAATAATTGGTGTTTATGTTTTGCGTAATCCGTCCTCCGACCATGCTCAAGCGAGCTTGAGGTAGAGGCTGTGGACGGAATTTGGAATTGACAACGTCATTTATGCTTAAGCTTAAATCATTAGAACTAACATTCTTAATACTACTAATATACAGAGTAGTATCACTATTTATATTACGTACTGGATTGCGACTAGCTAATTCTAAACTGATGTTATGATCTGTAACGCCATCGTGGTTAAGGAAGTCAGTAACGTTATTATTCCATAGCAACAGTGCATTGTGTACTGTCGAAGTACAGATGTTACGGTCACCTTTGTCTCTTCCAATCAGTTTCAAGATATACAGCTAATATATATCAATATTGATGGATACTCAAGACATTCAGAAGCAGTATGGGACCGATTGAAAAGATGCAATTAGCATGCTTCTCGGGCTAACAAAGCTGATATAGCGCTTCAAAAATATATTATTAAAGAATATGTGGTGTTAGCAGGTCATTGCAACTCATTGTTATATGTGCACTCTAGGTTGCGATAGATCGTACAGCTGCAATTAATCAGCTGATATCATTGAATATTTATCTAAAGTATATGGAATACGAGGAGTCAAACTGAACTGGATATCATACATCGAGTATAAGCTTTTGTAATCTTCGCAGTACGCATCTGCTACTATATAGATGAAAGTGAAAACGTACGTGATACACAGAAAAGATTCTCTGAGTAATGAAGGATATGCACCAAAAGAGTGATGGAAGCCTCGCGTGTGCTAATGAAAAATAAGTGATTTAATTGTTTGAGTATATTCCACTGTGAAGTAATGCAAATTATAAGGTATCTAGAACAAAAACATAAATCGCAAGAGAGACAAATTAAAGTCTTTTTATGGACTTGAAGTATGTGATCTCTTGTTATTAATTCAAGCGGGTCATACAATAATCAGGACACATGTCGCATTATATGTATTCTGCCAAACTACTTGCTGTATATAGATAAAAATTCACGGATATGACCCTGTTAATTAAAATCTTCATTTGTTAAAGTGTCAAAGTTGTACAACCATGTGTATATATTCTTCGTCGTCTCTAGAAATATAGGAGGCGAAGCTACCACTGTATTCAAGACAATTTAGTCGACTCATAGGGCAATGACGATCCCGTATGAAATTGGTTCAATTTCAATAATTTCACCCTATAAGAATCGGTTGAGGATATTAATCTTAAATAATACGGATAGCTCGAATGGATAAGTGTAATAAATACTGTAAATGGAAAGAAACGCATTCATCTGAAATAAATTTGATTTAACAGGTGTTAATACAAACTACATAAAGTAATAACTAGCAGTCCAATGACAAACTACCCTGGAAGGATTGAGATGTTGTACCCAATAACGTCGAAGTGTTTTACATCGGATGAGACTAATATTACTAGAACAACATACACGCCTCTTGTTGGGAGAATCAGTTGCAGAGAATGTTGCGAAAAGACCTTACGCTGGCCTGTGTCGCGTTATTTCTCTTATGGTTAGCGTGAACCTGACTCTCTACCAACGCCATTATAGCGTCAGTGGGGGGTAGTACGACCACTTCTTGATCGCGCTTATATTTTGTTACAGGAAGACACAAATTATTACATAGCCGTGATCGTGACAAAATCATTTTGACACTTCTTCTTTATCAGCAAAAGGCATAACTAGGTTTTAAGTATACAAAAAGAGCTTAGTGCCGAAGTTTTATAAAGTTCAAATAATAAAAATTTATAAAGATGACTTTGGACGATCACGGCTCCGATGAATAGACCAATAGAAACAACTATACCTCAACAAGACTTAATAGATTATTATTGCTAATGAAACAACTGTACAAATCAATATTCTTTTACAGCTAAATCAGGGAAAAAATAAAAATGAACAATGAAGGAATGCAACATCCGTAATTCGATAAAATATTATTAAATATAGACTCACTTCAATCCGCATCTATTAATTGTCACACTCCAAGCTTGCTTTTTTGTACTTTATGCTGGCGAACCATATTCTTTATCAACAACAAACCTTTTGTTCTGAAGAGCATTGTTAAAGGGCAATGAAGAATTTTTTTCCTGTAAGCAGAAAAAGTAATCATTTTTCAAGCACACAGACCATGTTGTTCCTACAGCTACGCGAAAATTGTTTCTTTTGGCAATTAAACTGTATACATGTACGTATGCATAGATGTGTCGGCTTACATATTTATGTATATGTGTGTGTATAATTATATATATATATATACATATATATATATATATATATATATATATATATATATATATATATATATATATATATATATATATATATAAATATATATAAATATATATGAAATTTTTAGTTTCATATTTACGTATCATTATCCTAAATTCAATCCTTCCAATATCATATTAAAATAATCTATACCAGAACATTTAACACTTTATTAAGTTAATGGATTAATATTAAGTTTAAAATTTTCTTTTGATATATCTGTCCTAATGAGATAGTTCCTTCAATGTATATAACAGCTCACTCAATAATGCATTAAGAATTACACGGCTATATTTTCATTATTATGTCAATTTTATTATTTTACATATTTATTTTGTTCAAAAATATGAATTATTTTATAACATTGAATTTTATATTAATTGTTTTTTGTAATTTTAATTTTAAATTAATTGTAAATAATAATTTTATATTATTTTTAAACATTTGCATTTTAAATTCTTTAAAAAAATTTTTTAAAATTAAGCCTTATATTTTATTCATTCAAATTTAATTAATTTATTTTTATAATATGATAATATGAATTTACAATAAATTTATTAGAACTAGTAAATGGAAATTCTTATGCAATTTCCAAGAATTCCCCCCCCCCCCCGAGACTTCCAACGTTTTTTACAATAATCGGCATACAATTTTTGTACAATTAAAAATTTAAATCTATCAAACGTTATATAAATAACAAAACGCGTTATTATCGTTCTATCTGTTAAAAATTAAAAAATAATAGTTTAAAAAAATCTTTTTCGACAATTGTAGAAACTTTTTTGAAAAAATTGTCGTTAAACATTCAAAACGTTTGAATCGCTCCTTAGAAAACGATGCCATATAAAAGCCCAATGAAACAAACTACTTTTTTACAGCATTTATTATATTCTTTTAAAATACGTATTTAAAAGGCATATATCTCATATTCAAATTCGAGCCTTCGAAATTAACAAAAACAGTAAGTATTATTATTCTCTCTTTTCTGAAATTTTGAATCTTAATAATAATTACGAATTAGCAAACAAATTTTCCCTTAATATTACTTTTTCATTTATTCTAATTGAACAATAGAGCTAGCATTATCAATTGTTGCAGAAATTTTATTTTATTCAAATTTCCTTCGCAAGTAGTCACATAATGAAAATCAGAAATCCCCAAACCGCCTTTAAACACACGTACAACTTATATTGGTGAAATAACCGCCACTTACAATACCTTCTCCACATTTCTAGTATGCACGCCCACGCTCATCACTTTTACAAAAATTTTACCGCAAATTAAATCCTAATAGTCACTTCGTACTTTTAAACGAGCCTACGCGCGCGACCCTGTTTGGACTTGAATTCGAAGTTGGCTCAACCAACCGCCGAAGCTTTCAAATTCCTTCCTAACGAGGTGCTCCCTGTCGGCTAAAAACATAAGCAAACGAGTCTGGCGCAGACGAAAATTAAAGTCAATGCAATCCGCTAATTTCCATTCTATCTACCGTAGCGCAATTTTCTGCTTGACTGCGAGGCTTTTATTGTTCCCCAGCAAATTGGAAACTCCCGTACTCATCTTTGTGACGCGCAACGTTACAACGCATCGGTAGAGATTTTTCTTCCTTACGTGCACGCTTGGTTGGGAAAGAGCGTAGCGCCGAATGAGCTAGAGTGGAAAAGCAGTGGAGAACGATTAGATGATAACGGAAGGTCGACGTGTTGCCCGAACGCGCGGAGGGGCGCCCCGTAGGCTCGAGCTGCCAAGCCTCGATCCGCGTCGGTCTACAGAAGCGCAGTTCGATGGCTTAAGGGCGCACATCCAGGCCAATATGGCCGCGAACGCTTTTCTCCCGTCGGCGCTTTAGGCCGAGGCTCCAGCGCTTTATTTCGAGGCGCAGCTACCCGTGCGTTTACGCGCCAAGGCCAGAATAGAAGTGTAATCAAAGGGTATCAGCGATGAATATGTCAGTGGAGAAGAAGAAGTACCCCTCGGCCTTGCCAACTAATTGGCCGAGCCGGGATGAGCAGCCGCCGCGGAAGAGTCAAAGCCAACAACAATTGACGTCCACGGGGAAGGTTGACGTTTTCTACTACAGGTAATTGCGTAGTGCGTAGACACGCGCGCCTTCAATTCCAGTGCGTGTGCGAGGAGCGGATATTTATTTGCGAAGGTGAGGTGTGGGGCTCCGGGAGGTATGATTGCTCGCCGGTTTTTCGAATATCGTGTGATTGGGTCGTAAGATGAATGTTCGCCGTGATTTATTTATTGCTTCTGGGTAAAGAAGCCGTGGAATTTGCATCGCTGATAGGTAGTGCTGTTTATTATGCTACCTTCATTCATTGCCCATGAGAGTTGGACTTGGTTTTGTACTCTATAGGCTGTTTATGTTATAAAGTCCAGTGAACAATGGATTGTAGATCAACTTATAAAATAGATTAGCAATATTTTTAATAATAGTATTGTGATGAGGTTGCGTTCCTTGGAAAGTGTTTATAGATTTGGTTCCTCTGATTTTACATCACAGTCGAAGGTAAAAAATACACCACAAACAACAATATAGTTTGTAAAATCTAAAGCTTTGATATTTATATTGAAATTGATGCATGGATTGAAGGAAACATGCATTGTAAATGGAGAAAAGTGCAGTACGTTGCGAGTATATGACGAATGGAATGTAGTATTTAAATAATATCTTAATGATTGAATTGATTTATTTATTATAGTTATATTGTTTTATAAAGCAATCGCTATAGAATTATTTTCAATGAGTAAATATATGTTTTGATTACTCCATATGTGTATGTGCAAATATATATATTGTAGTAGTTTTTAATAGATTTTAATAATATTCTTATTTCAACTGTATATAATATGGAGAAAGTGTATAATACATCGAATTTATTAAGGCGGAGTATCGTAGAGATGAATTTTTTTTTGTTTTTGTTTGAGGCAAATATTGTGTTTGACCTATAGTGTTTATAAATTTGTAAATATTAAATTTTTTTCCAGTCGTGGAGTAAGAAATGATGCATCACTGGTACCACCGATCAGGCAAACTGCATCGATTTTCAAACAACCAGTAACTATTTACAAAACACAAGAAGGCAAAGTTAAAGATATAAAACATGGAAATCAAGAAAAACCCAAACAGGTATGAATATTATTGTTGTAGTTGATTTATAATCATTCGTACAAATCATGGCATTCATGCAAAAATTTATATTCAATAAAATCCATGTGGGCAAATTTTATTTTCTGCGGTAGAATAGTTCCCTTTAAGTAAGTCCATAAAATTAGAATACAAAACGAATGTCTGAAAATAAATTGGCATAAATTTGAAAACTTCATTTATTCTTCATATTTTTACTATATTACCTGTTCGTTAGTATTAAATTCATAGATTTTCTTGTTACGTATATGTTAAAAATCAAGATAAAATCAATTATTCAGTAATTTTATATCATACAAAACTCTGATCATTCATTTAGGAAGGAGCCTATAAAACTGACGGCAAACACGGCTCCAAAGACAAACCTAAATAGGTAACTTTTGCAGCACGTCATCATTATTCAAATCTATTTTTTTAATCTTTGATTCTTGTATGTATCGCTACATTAATCGATTTTATCCAATAACCAATATAAAAGAATTTCATTTTAATTGTGTCCTGTCATAGATGAATGAACAATGTTACAAAAGACTTTGTTTCAATAGCAGTAGAAGCAATCGTTGCAGTGCCCTTTTTAAAGTGTCACAGAATATATTATCTCATATTTTTGCTGAAGTGTGAAAACTTTTACTACAATGACATATAATATTACGTACAGATATAATTACATTTCTTGTCGCGAATTTAACAAAATTTTATAAAAATTTTATCTAAATATTTGGTTAACAACTGTATTATGATAATGTCAAATTTAAAATTTCAATTAATATTTGAATGATTCAGAGGCATACAATGCCTTACATCACAATAGATTTGTATATTATTGTATAATAATATTAATATATAAAAGACAATATTATTATTTGTAAAGTAGGACTCTATGCTGATAGTATTTACCTTTCACATACATCAAGGATGTAAATTTAATAATAGTTATTAATTAAAAATTAATAAAGAGAGTTTAATTAATAATTACTTAATTGAATAATTGTTAGTTTATTATAAGACATAATATGCAATTCGTAAATGTGTTAAAAGACTCTAATATTCTATTTGTTTCTTAAACATACATTTGGACTTATTATAATTTATTTAGAATTTATAATTTAAATAATTGCGTGCTACTAGATTACATATTAAAGTATTATAGAAGATTTGATTTTCTGGTCTTTCAAATTAATTTTTAATAATTTTGGGCATCATTTTAGACAGTAATTTTTATAATATATAAAAAATCTTGTACGTTTTGCAGCTATTCTGGGAAAAACGTCTGGAGGGTCTCAGAGCCTGTGATCCCGACGGCTACGAATTCGATGGTATGGACCTACCAAAATCCCTCAGACCGGTTGGACCTTACATTACCGAGGAAACGTTATTACAAAGTGTCGCTACTGCCCTCCACGTTTCCACGCAGCCGGTTACCGGTCAAATGGGTCCAAAAACTTCACTTGAGAAGAATCCCGGTGTCTTCCTCAATCCCGACCAGCCGCTCGTTCAGGTATTACATGCTACACTTGGATGGCTCAATTTATAGCAACTTTACGCTAAAATCTTACCATTTGTTTATGTGTTGTGTAGCAAGTGTGACTCTCAATACTGGTTTTCTTATTTAATTTTGCCCTTATGTAAATTTTTTTCTAATGTATTTATTTATTAATTTCCAATGTAAAGTATTTTTACGGAGGCTAAACTTTTATTATATCATTGAATATTATATCTTCGACAAAAACTCATAAAATTTGAATTAACTACCGAACTATATATAAGTAACAATCAGCCAGCATTGGCTTAATAATACTAAGTTTTTAAAAAGAACACAATTTCGATCAAAATAAAATAATAAAATAAGAATTTTAATAATTAATAGAATTTAATATAACTGTAATTAAACAGAATTTAATAAAATTTTCAAAAATTTGAAAAATGAAGAAATTTAAAGTATTGATCATCAATGCAATTAAATATTGTAATGTTATTGAAATTTGTTTTCATAACATAAATATTAATTTTAGGCTGTGTCGATAGCAGACGAAGATATCAAACGACAAGAGGAAAGAGTAGCTATCGCAAGAAAAAAACTGCAAGAAGCATTACGTTCTATATACGCGTAAATTTAGGTTACTTCGTCATTCATTTGCTCATACCATCAGCGTTTTTTCTCCTACTAGCTCGTAAGCGCGTTATAAAAATATGTTAATCGTCATTGTAATAAATATTTTCTAAAAAAATGGAGAAAAAAGTACCTTGGATGGGTAGCAGAAATGCAAGTTAATCCTTCCTTAAAGCCTCATTATACAATTCATTCCTGCATCTTCATAGACTATATTGTATAAATATTGGAGGCAAGTGTTGTATGAGATTATATAATTATTGTAAATAATGTTAGAAGATGTGATTTTCCAATACTAACGAAGAAGCAATTGCGAGTCGTGAGAATAAAATGAATTTAATATCTATTTATTTACATGATACGTGGAGAGACTGAGAATCAATAAGATATATTTATTAATCGCGTAAGATTCTTCAAACGATGTAATTAAATATTGAAAAGAAACCGTAATGTAACAAGCTACTTTCTTTTGTATAATAAGAAATTGTTATAAAGATAGTAACTTATTCTTGTGTTCAGCAAACAATTTATATGTATCGTAATAAAGTATGTACATTAAATAATTTTTTACAGTGTAATTATGATATTTAATTATTACAATACAACTAGAAAATCAATGAAGTTCTCATATTTAAATCCATATGATTTTATTTAAATAATACATTATGTACTTTCAATTAGTAAGTTTTATTCATTAAAAAGAATTAGAGATTCTTCAAACTCTAATAATTTTTTTAAAAAACCAACAATAGCATGCCTTAATAATCATTTTAATTTCAATCATAATCTATTGAAGACTTAATTCTATAAAATGAAAAATCTATAGCGTAATAATATATTAAAAAATACATTTCAAATAATATACGCCAAAAAATTTATATTGCTTCTTTTCGTTATCCAATTATATTTAAAAACATTTTAAAATTTGGTAAAGATCAATTTGTAGATCTGTAGATTCTAGACATAAATACATTTCGGTGACATCCAACATCGATTACATTAGATTCAAGTAATAGCGTGATTCAGCTCTATTACAAATTATCAAATTATGTTTGTAAATGTTGAAATTGTAAAGCATCTGCACATAATTAATAGTAATACAAGTTTAATTTATCATTTCAAAATAAATTGAACTAGTCTTTTATTAACATTTTAAAAATAATTATATTGTAATTTGTTAGTTAATTAAAAATGGTTTAAAGTTTTGTGTTTTATATTTCTTAAAGTGTGTAATTTGAAATACAGTGTGAAGAAAATTAACAAATTTGAATTTAATTATAATAGGTTTTTGGATTTTACTAAAGTGTAAAAATATAAATAAAATATAGAAATATTGCATTTTTTATATTGACAAATTGACAAATGAAATTATTCAAACTTTTCCTCTGTAACTACAAGGTAGAAAATAAAATAATTTTTCATATATATATAAAAAAAATTGAATATGCAATAATTTTCAGAATACTACTCATTCAAATTAAATATATATAACAGAAAATTATATTGCTTTATACTACACATGAATACATGATTTACTAAGATGTTTGAGTACGTTTTAAATTATCAATACTCAACTGTAGTGAGTAGTAAAGTATATTTATATTTATAAAAATATATGAAAATTATAATTTTTATGAAGATATTCAGTTTATCACACGAAAAATAAATTGTGAAATTTATTTCTTAATATTTCAAAACAAACATTTAAATGACTGATGGTACAAATGAGGATGATTTTTATACATAAACTCGAAGAGAGAAGCAAGTAATTTATTCTTTCTAATCAATTATTTATAATTCATATTAACATGCTATGTGCTGTGAAATCTATTGAATATAATCAAAAGTGAAATGACTGATATAAAGCATATAATATAAATAGGATAATTATACAATATTTAAAATTAATGGCTTCATTAAGAACTTTCCTATGAAGTCATGTCACTAGCGACTTAAAAATAAATCTAATCTCGAGATCTTCATTTTGGTAATTCAATGAAGTAATTGTTACGGTTTTTGATAAATCTTTGTTGTGCGTATTTTTTAGTACATATTTTCTAAAGGTGTTTTTACGGTTCTATGAAGAAAACTGCTTCAAATGAAATATTATTTGAAACAGCAATTATTTTTCTCTTCGGTTTTAATGTCGATCAATAACGGAATATTTAAAAAAAATATGTTTTACCTACATGTAATAATTTTTTTTTTAAATGTTTATTTGTGTGATCAGCATAATTGAAGGAATTAGTAAAAATTTCGTAAATAATTAATTTTACAACAAACAATATTTAATTAATAAAGAAAACGATGATACTACAAATGAGCATATTTAAATATTAAATTAAACTTTGTGCTTGATTTATCGAAACTGTTCGACTACAATCTTGGGTCGTTATATAAATATAATTTTAAGGAAAAGGTACGCAATTACTTATGTTAGGTATGGAATATATAACCAGTTCGAATTAAAATAAGCAAGGTAAAAAATAGTTTATATGTCATAATTAAGTTGATTTCTGTTTTATAAATCTGTGGGTACTTTTGAATATTGAAGACCTTGATTTAAGATCCGAATAAACTTCAATTTTTTGCATTATTTTCAGTAAATTTCATTATAATATAAATAAAAATTCACGATTATTATAATGTAATTTGTATGATAAAACATGTACCACATTTTACAATGTAATAAAAATTATTTATATTTGCTAAATATTTTATAAAATATTATAAACCTATTACTCAGTATATAAATAATATAATAGCACATAAAATATAATATACATCATATTATCTAGATATTTTGACGATTCAAGTAAGAGTAATTAAGATATATTTCTTTACATACTCATTAAAGTCTGTATATAGGTGTAGAACTTTCAAATTTTGTATGTAATTATAAATTGATAGTTAATTTTAAAGAACTGCATTTATTATAGAAACTGCAACCATTATAAGAAAATTAAAAAAAAAGTAGATTCGTTTTCAAATAATAAATTAGACACTATTGCTTAAATTTAATATAATTTATAAAAATAAACTTCAAATCGATGGAATAAAATCACTATGAAATTTAAAGCTACAGTACACATAATATTAAACATTTTTTGAAAAATTAAATGTTTCCAAAACTCTTGTATAATTAAAATTAAAATGTATTTTAAATATTTTTCTATTTACATATTAACTTTATTTTAAAATTATATTTGATTAACCCATTGCTATATAATAAATCAAAATCACTTTATAATCGATGTTAATCAACAATTGCATATATTTTAAATAAAACTTTAATTGGAAATATATCAATATTCTAATATATAATCATTATAGGATAATCTTATAAATGTCTAATAAATATTATAGGATAGTATAAGCATGTGTTAGTTTTTATCGTTTAAATAATTTTATTTATAAAATTATTTTTATTTATAATTATTATTTAATCTATTATTTAATTACAGTACATTTACAACATTTGCAATATTGATGCATTGAAATAAAATTTTTTTTTTAATATAATGCTGTGTTATATTCCAATTAAAGTTATTGAAAATTTTATTTATAAAGGTGAGTCCTTAAATTATAGATTTTATTTTATCGAAAACAAATATTTTATTTGTATACTATTAAGTATTCTGCAATATTAAAATCAATACGAAAATTTATTTCACATATATTTGTATTTCAATTAATTTTCTCTCGGAAATGATTAAGAAAGAAAACTTTAAATTGCAATTACAAAATTATCAAAATAGTATTTTTAAGTATTTTAAGTATTTTCTAAGTATTTTCTGCTTTAATGTTTATTCTCTTCAAAAACAAATGATTCTTGGATCGTAAGATAAATAAAATCTTACTGTTCTCATTTTCAAGTGTGTGTTATACATTATTTGTAATTATTTATCAGCATTATTTCGTTCTTTAATTAAAACTACCCGACTGATCTCGAAATATGAGCGCTGAATTCCATATACAACATCGTATTTGGAACGACCACCATGTATCTTTGCTCATCATCATTGCATATATCTATCATCAGTAATATGAAAATATTCTTCACTTTTTTAAAATCTATTAGAATTAATAATATGAAAAATTTTACCGCATCACAAAATATTGTGCTTATTCAATTACTAAATTTGCGTATTGTAAATAAAATCAAAACGTGTTATTCTCCTATTTAACAGCATTTCTACGTTTTATTCCATATTAATTAAAATATTTGTAATAGAACGTACAGCCTTCGTAAGATATTAAGCTAACTAGATAAAACATTCTTGAAGAAATATTTTTTAAGAAGTTATATGTAATATCTACGATCTTGACATTCTAGCGAGATAGTTAGGAGAGACAAATAAGTTTGACTAACTATCTTCTCCTTTATGGGTAAACGAATCAACATAACTTACGAAGAGAACTAGATACTAAATAAGCCCAAAAGCATCAGCATCTGATAAGTTTCTTTATTTCTAAGGTACCATTAACGTTAGTGTAGATTAGACAAATTGCTAATAAAATTTATCTTCTACTATTTTAAATAATATTATATATATTTAAATAATGTTAAAATTCCTTCGCTAAATATGCTTGAACTAGTTATTATTTTATTATTTATTAATAAATATTCATAATATAAATATTATTGTATAATTAAGTAGATAATATAAAGAACTATTTTTATATAATTCAAAACATCAAATTCATTGTCTCAGAGATAATTAAATTATTAATTAAAATTTAATTAAATTATGTAGTATTTTTTGCCACAATAAACTCAATAATTGTAATAATTAGACATAAGTAAATAATAATTTATTATTGTTATTATTATTATTATTCTAAGATAAAAAATGAATATTAACAGATTAAATATTAAATTTAATATCTATTGCTTCTATTATTAGTTTTAATTATTTTTATTTTATTATTATTATTTTAATCTATTATTTCTATTATTAATATATAAGAAGCTAATAATTTAAAAAATAATTTTAAAGATTGTACGAATTACGTTAGGTTTTTATAGAAAAATAATAACAAAATATAATTTAATAAGTAAATTTAAAATTAAAAGAAATGTCATAAATGTAAATTGATATTTAACGTGAATAATGTTAATCTATCATTACTAATTTTAATATACTATTAATAAAATTATTTTGATAATATTAATATTAGAAATAGAATATCTTATTTAAACAATTTCATGTATAGGATTAAGAATATGAATAAAGTGTTAAATAAAGAATAATTTAAAATTATAACAGGATAAAATAGGAGCACGTATGGATTTAAAAGTTTTCCAAATGAGATCGAATTTAGAACGAACGAAAAATTGAAAAAGTTAGTTGAATAGTTGAATTCAAATAATCTCCTCATTACGATATTTTAAAAAAATCGAGCTTTGTACAAAAATGAAGAATTACATTAATACAATATATTATTAGTAATCCAGAAAATTAAAAAAGATATATTATTAATTACATTATTTAAGAAAAACTGAAGTTATATTTAACGAAAGAAATAATATTTATTCAA